TGCTTGCAAGGCAGGTGCTTATGCCGCTGAGCTAAACCCCCAGCCCCTTTGAAAGCACTATTTAAATAAATGCCTCTGAAAATGCTTACAGCGTCATGAAACTAGTTTGCCAATCTGCAAACTAACAAGACTTAGTCCCCTGAGCCTCTGTTTACAAGGTAACAAACCTCTAGGTTCCCCGTATTTGCCACATGAGGGAAAAAAGCAAGGAATTTTTAAAAATATTGGTAACTCCAGAGACTATGATTTAATAAGTCTGGGGTATGACCTGGACATCAGAGTTTTTTCAAGCTGTGAGTGATTCCAATGTGCAACAAGACCAAGTACCATTACTTTAGGGTCTTTGTATCCCTAAAAAAAATATAGAAAATTCAGAGGGCAAGTAAGACACACCTGCCCCCCCCCACTGCCATCACCTGGCTCAGTGAATAAGCTCTGACAGGTGGGAAAAGACCTGAGTCTTTCCTACCTCAGAGTTTATTCCCCCTTTCGCCACCACGGTTTTCTCCGATAGCACTGCATGGAACTCTTGACGCTTCCTGGACTTTGAGCAACTTCCCCAGCACAGGTGGGAGATAGTCACCTAGGGCATGAAGAAGCTGAGACTCAGAAAGCATTCCTTCAAATTCTACAGAAGAAATGTCGTTTGGAGCAGCCCACATGCACTTCCTGCAGACACTCGTTGCTTAACACACATTGCTCATATCTGTAGCTCAGTTCATTGTAACTGCTTGTTCACTCTCATGCCTTCTCTGTTATACTATATTGGCTCGGGCCCACACCAGCCTATCCTTAAAATCACTTTATTGACCTTCAAACTGTTCTTTCCCTGCTATTTGGCTAAAGTTCCTTCAAACAATTGTCTACAGTGCAGCGTGATCTCCTGAAAGGTAAATCTGAGCCAGGCTTGGTGGCATACACTTGTAATCCCAATATCCGGGAGGCTGAGGCAGGAGGACTGCCGCAAATTCAAGACCAGGCTGGATTACAGAGTGAGTTCGATATTAGCCTGGACTACATGGTGAGACTGTTTCAAAAAACTAAAAAAAGATAAATCTGATATTAATATTTTAATATCAGTTTATTATTAGTAGTACTCCATTCTTTTTAGGATCAAATCTACACTTTCTCAAACTCTACTACCAAACCATTTGCCATTTATTCAAGTACATCGTATGACCTCATGTGTCTCTACTGGCATAGACTACTAGAATATTTTCAGAATGCATCTTCAGGATCATTTCTTTGCTACCTAGTGTGAATTATAAGCTGAGTTGATTTATCATCCCTCAGGACCCTCTACCCACATTATGATTTTCTCCACAAGAGACTATGAGCTTATTCAGAGTAGGCACTGCATCTTTTGTGTCTTTGTCCTTTAGGTTTAGCACAGTAAGGGCTGTAGTAAGTGTTCAGTCAATAGCTGTTGAATGAATGCCTCATCATCTCATGTGTCTGCCTTCCCCATATGGGTTCAGCATCTCCTATCTCCAGCCTCCATATACAAGATTCATGCTTCTGCTCAGATCTGCCTGGCATAGCTCTTCCTCTGAAAGGCTCTCTAGACTTGGTTCCTAAGGTAATGGTGATCAGACCACCTTTTAGCCACCCTTTATATTTCAATCATAGTACACACCAGTCTGAGCTACAATTCCCTCATTTGTGTCTCCTTGGCTAGCTTGTCAGCTCCTAGTGACAACAAACTATTTTATCTATTGTTATGGTTTGTGTCTAGACATCTACTCAAAGCCTCCTGTGGTCATAGGTGGGTTTTCCAGAGGTAGCCAGATCTGGAGTGTGCGATGCTGGGATCAAGGGTGTATGATTACTAAATTAGTCTGCTGAGTGGTTTGGCGTAGTCCTGAGTAGGATAAAAGTGCCCCTACTTGCTGTCTTCTTGCCCTGCTTGGCCATGGACTGTTTCTTCTCTGTGATGCCCATCAGCTTTACCACCTTGTCTTGGAGCTAGCTGACCATGGACTGAAACCTCTGAGAATTGTGAGCCAAATAAACCTTTTCTCCCTTAACTTTGGGTGTCAGGCATTTTGTCTCAGCAACAAGAAAAAAGTAACTAAGACATCTACCTTTGTATCTTCACTGCTTATTCTTTGGTAGATAGCTAGTAACTAAACTTTAGCCAGGCATAGTGGCACACACCTATAATCCTAGCATTTGGGAGGCTGAGGCAGGTGGATCATTGCAAGTTCAAGGACAATTTGGGCTTCTTAGCAAGACCTTGTCTCAAAAGACAAACAAAAAGTAAATTAAAGGGGTTGGGGATTTAGCTCAGCAGCATAAGCTCCTGCCTTGCAAGCAGGCAGTTGTGAGTTCGATCCCTGGTACTGATAAAAAGGAAAAAGGCAAAAAAAAAAGTAAATTAAAAAACTATACTTTTATTTTTACCCCCCTCCAATCTGTCTTTTATTCCATGGTCAGAATATTGTAAGATAAACTTAGTTCCTGTCTCTCTCCTGCTTAAAAATCTTCAGTGACTTCCCTTTTCCTTGAGTAATCTTTCTGAAAATGCAGCACCCATGCCAGTGCTAGTACATGCAATGATTTTCAGCCGAATACACAATAGTTTTATTTTATTTTTGAGTAAAAGTACTCAAACAACAAAAGTCAAAAAGTCATCATATTTGGGAAACCTTGATGTACAGGTTTTCTAAAAAGCCTTTTAAATCTAGTATACAGTCTTTTACATTAACTCCTGACTGCCCTTCCAACCTTGCCTTCCTCTAGCTGCCATCAAACATGATAAACCACGGGCCACTACACTGCAGGTTCCCATGGTCCCCGCCACTCCTCCGAGACTGTGCTGAACACATCGGCAAGAGGGATGCTGTTAAAAGGGCAAGGCAAGTCAGGTCATCACTCTGCTCGAAACTTCCTCATTGGGGAGCTTGTATTGCTAGGACATGCATGCCAAAATATCAAGGATAGAGTCCCGTTATATCTGTAATTTACCTTAAAATTAGTCAGAGAAATACATATGATGTGCACAATATTAAGAACTATTGAATCAAATCAAAGGACTCAAGAAGTGACCATAGGGATTTTCTCTGCACTCTTCTTTAAACTTTTTTGTGTATTTAAATTTTTTCATAATACAAAGTTGTGAGAAAAACAAGATAGGAAACAGTGATAAACACATGGCTGGGGGTTTAGCTCAGTGGCACAAGTGCCTACCTGGCAAGCACAAGGTCATAAATTCGATCCCTGGTATAAAAAAAATATATTGATATGTTGACTAATATGTAATAAAACTAATATAAGATGTAACCAGTTGAATCTAAATGTGAAAAATACAAGATTAACATAAACACAAATTTTTACCTATTTACTACCAATAAACAAGTGGACTTTTAGATTAAAAACATAATATCATTTAAGTTAGTGCTCCCAAATATGAAATATTTAGGTGTAAGTGTTAGACAGGTGCAAGATATATATGAGGAAAACTGCAAAACTTCGATGAAAAAAATCAAAGAAAGACTAACAAAAATGGAGACAGTTCACGTCCAGGAATTGGAAGACTCAATACTCTTTAAGATGTCAATTCTTTTCAATTTGACCTACAGATTCCATGTAATTTCAGTTAAAATCCAGACAAGTTATTTTGTAGATATTGACCAAGCGATTCTAAAGTTTAAACAGAGGAAAAAGGAGCGAGAATAACCAAGCCAATATTAAAGGAGAACAAAGTTGGAGGACTTACAGTGCCCTCTTTGAAGATTTGCTATAACGCTCCAGTGATCGGGAAGTGTGGTGCTGGTGAATCAACCCTTTGCTTGTGCCCTACCTTTGGCCAGGAGCACTCTTCCCCCGAAGAGCCTTTATGCCCTACTGGGGAGAGAAGCCAGGGTTTAGGCATTTAGCTACATACCTGTCCCTTTGTGGTTTTGGTTGGTTTTTTTTGTTTTTTTGTTTTTTTTTTTTGTTGTTGTTGTTGTTGTTGTTTTTTGTGGAACAGAGTCTCACTAAATTGCTAAGTTGCCCAGGTTAGGTTCTAATTTATAATCCTCCTGCCTTAGCCTCTCAGCTAAGATTACAGGTGTGCACCACTACACCCAGCCTCCCATATGCTTTTAGGTCTTTATTCAAATGTCATTTCAGTGAAGCCTTATCTATTACCCTACTTTAAAATGCAGACTTCCCCAGCCCTTCCTAATATCCTTGCTTTATTTCTCATGGGAGAATTTAAATATACTGTGTACTGTATTTTGTTTAACGCGTTGTCTGCCTCACTCCCACTGGAATGTAAGTTCGGGGAGAGCAGAGATGGCTGCTGCTTTGTTGACTGTGGCACCTCACTGCCATAACACGGACACTAAGCTTTGGCAGGTCTCAATAATGTCTGTGAGATGAATAAACAAAAAGCTTCTTGAGAGCTCATTCATAGTCCCTGGTATTTGCCGTACTGTCTCCTCTGCCTGGATTGACACCACCCATGTGCAGCAAAAAAAAAATCCTGTTCTGGCACCAAAACTCAGCTCCAGAACCCCCTCTTTAGTAAAGGCAGATCGAGACAGGTATCTCTTCCTTGCATTACCAACATGGCCCATTTGACCTCTCGTGGGGTCTTTTGTAACATGCAGAGCCTCTCAGAAGCCTCCTACTCATCTTATATTCCCAGTATCTTTGTACCTCACATTTAATACCAAGTTCTCAAAAACATTTGTGAAATGAAATGATAATGAAAGAATGACCTAGATAAAGCAGTATGTAGCTTAGTGCCAGTTACATAGCCATCTGTAGTGTATTTAATTTAAATAATATACAATATACAATACTAAAGATTCTCCCAGTAGAGTCCCTTTAACATTAGTACTTTGTATTATAGCTTGAGATCTATGAGATCTATGATTATAGCTTGAGATCTATGATTAATGACTAACAATATCCCAAATCCAAGACAATAGTTAGTAATTAACGTGAAAGGCTGAATTTGTTTTCCCATCTCATGAATTCACACGATTTCAAAGGTTTTGTTACTTTACCTGCTGTTTGGGTTGCCAAAGTCATATTGTTCTAGGCATAACAGTATCACCACTGAAGCTAAAGATTGAGCAGGTTTGGTAAACAAAGCATTGAAGCCAAAAACCACTGAAGAACTGGGTGACCTGGAATAGACAAAAACAGCAGGGGTCTTCATTACACACAAATGACATGCATATACATTTATATGTGTAAGTACATGCATGTTTTTCTGTATATCAAGGACCTCTTCACCTGTGAAGCCCTCCTGGGCACTAAGTAAGTAATACTAGAAATAACATAGTAATTATAACATATTAATTTTAAGAGTTCCCTTAGTTTTAAGAGATTATAGCACTAGAAAAATTTACACCTTAATGAAGATATTAATCCCAAAGAAGACCTAGCTTCCCTCTTAAATGCTCAGCAAGTAAGAGCTGTATGTGTCCTTACCACATTAAGTATGCTACATGTATATTTGATTTAAGTTCCACAGCAACACCGTGGGGAAGATATTATCACCATTCTTTTAGAAACAAAACAACAGATGAACCCACCAGTCATGAGAATAATAAATGGTGAAACTGGGATTCATACCCAAGTCTTTCTGCCCAAGCTCCTTAAAAATAATTTCAATGTATTCCTACTGAGAATTCTGTCATATAATTTTTATTTTTTAATTTTAAAAAGAAGAAAACAATAAAAACCAATGATACAGAATTTCAAAACCAGATAATAAGAAATTAGCAATGGTTAATATATCGTGTGTTATTATCTTCAAAGTAGTTGCTCAGATTAGAAGCTATAAGTATGCATAATTGATCAAACAATTTGTGAACAAACAATTTTTTTCAATGAACTAAAAGAAATCAGAAGGGCTGGGGATTTAGCTCTGTGGCATAAGCACCTGCCTGTCAAGCATAAAGTCAAGAGTTCAATCCCCAGTACATAAAAAAAATCAGCAGTGTAACTGTCTCAGGTATCTTTTGTATATATATATTTTTTCTTTTCCCTTCCTTCTTTTCTGCTTTCACCCATCCTAGTTCTTCTTTCATTTTAAGCAGTTTCTTCCCCTTCCTCAATATCAGTTGTACATTTTGGATCTTATTTCTTTTTTCAGTTCCTTACACTAGAGAGACAATGCAATCTTTTTTTAAATTTATTTAAAGAAAGACTAATCAAAACAGAAAATGGGTAGAAATAATACATACTTTCAAAGAAAAAAATAAACAGTAAGAAATCACTAGTTGATGATTACGTATTGTCCTCTTACAAATAGTTGTTCAAGATACAAAAGTGAAACATACAAAGTGGGGGTTCAAACAGCAGGACTGCAAACAGTTCTGTTTAACTATCCAACAAAAACTTAATAATATGGTTATCAATGTTATACATTTAAACATACATGCAATTATCCATATCTTCATTTATGTTGAGATTAAACAAACCAAAGTAGGCTAAAATCACTCTGAACAAAGAATAATAGTGTTGCTGGATTTCACATCATGACACTATGGGATCAGCACTGGGTACTATAGTGTCTCTTTTTCTTCAAAATATTTGTTCATTTCATCATACATTATAAGATCAGTTCCCGTAAATGCATAAGTCTTAACATGTATTTCTATCCTTTCTATATTAGAAGGAGAAACAAAACAAAGCAAGACAAAATAAAACATATTCCTATAAACACATGAAACAAAAAAGATAGATAAAACCACTGTACAAGGAGTTCTACAATGGTTACAGTGTTATCTCTTGTTAACTTCAATAGAAATGCCTATATCATCAAACATAGTATAATTGGATATAGTAGTACATGACAATATTAATAAAAACAAAACTTTGTAGATAGTGTAAAACTTCAAAAACAGGTAATAATCAAACCAGAATGGGTATCATAATGAATCTTGTCATTTTTAGTGTAGTTGCCTATACTCTCAGACTTGATGCTATCTATCATAACGGTTTTGAATAAAATCTGTCAATACCAAACAGCAATCAAACAAACTAGATTTAACTAAGATCAGTCATGATAAAACAGTGTAAGTTATACAGGGCTCAAGATTAAGTTAATAGGAAATTAAAGATGATTACTGTACTATACCCTGTTATTTTTGGGATAGCTGTCTGTGTCCTCAGATCTAGTGCAAGCAGACAAACTGGGACAGAGTAAAATCTATCGAAGCAGAGTGGTGCAAGTAATGTGGGTTTTAAATCCTGATACACTATTAACAATATCCTCTGCCATCCTTTTTAAGACTATTCCTCCTCTTTCACTCCCACAGGGTGCACTGTGCATTTTTGGGTCTCACTAACACCCTCAGTTTTTAGATTGAGATTGAGTTTTTAGATTGATATAGATTGGGCGGGCAACCTGCTATTTACCTAATTGGTTCCAAACCTTCTCCCCCTCCTAGACTTGATCTCTAGTTGTATTCCTTTACCTATTAAAGCCTGTCTTTCCAACCTATCTGCAGGTGCTGGTCAAGTTGCTCCTATTACTCTCTGGTTCCTGTCACATAGAGCATTGTTTTCTGATATTTGATTTTTGTTCCATAAACCCTTTTTCAGGTTAATTATATTTCCTATATAGAGCATCTCAGTGGACCCTACCTCCTGATCTACTCTGCCTGTTTCTCTCTTTTTTTAAATTTTCTTTCTATTTTTTTAGCATATCAAGGCCGTCTATATTAGAGATTATAGCCAACCTTCTTTGCCTCATTTCTGTTGTGCTCTTTTCCTGCCATTAGTTGTCTGCTTTCTTCTTCATTCTCCTTTCTGCTGCACTCATTGAGGCCTCTCTGCCACTGTTTCTGGAATCCTGGTAACTTTCTCTCTCTCTAGAACGTCCTTTGGTATTCTCTGTAGGGTTGGATTGGTGGTCGCGAATTCCCCCAGTTCCTCTTTGTCTTGGAAGGATCATGTTTCTCCATTAATTTCTAGAGACAGTTTTTCAGGGTACATCAATCTGGGCTGGAGGTTATTTTCTTTCAGGGCTTGGAATACTTCGCTCCAAGCTCTTCTTGATTTGATAGTCTGTGTCGAGAAGTCTGCCATGATTTTGATGGGTTTTCCTTTATAGGTGATCTTTCTTTTATCTGATGGCCTTTAATATTCTGTTCTTATATTGTATTTCTGAGATATTGATTATTATATGCCTAGGTGTGGCTCTATTTTGGTTGTAGGTGGCTGGAGTTCTGTATGCCTCATACATCTGAATACCATTTCTTTTTCCTATGCTTAGGAAGTTTTCCTTAATTTCTATGCATAGCCTTTGTAGTTCCTTTGTTTTTACCCCTGCTTCTTTATTCACGTTCTTTATTCTTAAGTTATATATCCTCTTGTCATTTTCTAGCCTTTATATTGTTACTGCCTGTTTCCTTGTTATTTTTAAGAAATTTTTCCTTTCATGATCACATATTGCAAACTTGTATTTCAGTTTGGATAATCTATCCTTAGTTTCTTTCAAGCAGTTTTGCCAACTTTCAATGGGGTTTTTTATTTCTGATAATTTCTTTGAACCTGCTTCATGTATTCTATGTTTTCTTTATATTCTTCAGCAAACATTTCTCTCCTTTTTTGTGCTCCTCCATTCTTGTGAGGTGCTTAGCATTTCTTTTATTAACCTACTTTGATTAAATATTCCACTTTTGAGCTCATCTATGGGGTCCTGAAGATATCTCTTTATGTCCACTGATGCTGTGTCTGGTATTGCATGTTTGCTGCCCTCAGTCCCTTTTGTATTTACCTCTCCTGGATCAGTGTTCTCAGGGCTGGGGGCTGGGAACATTTCCTTGTTTCTTCCTTTTGTCATGTTGTTGGTTTCTTCCATACAGGTGTATACAGGAGGTCCCAGTCCCTTTCCTTGTTGGTTATGGTTCTTCTGAAGTGGGCTGGCTAGGTGATCCTGCCCACTCCAGTGTGCTATTGAGGTGCAAACAAGGGCGGAATATGCTGGCCCCTTCCCTTGGGGTCAGTCAACCCACTGAGGCCTTCACTGTGTTAGTGTGCGCCACACGTAGTGAATTGGTTTGGGACAACTTATTGGGTCTCAGCCAGGGGCTGACCCAGGCCAAGCATACTCCACCAATCTCATCTGGGAAGGGAACAACTGACTGAAATCACTGCTGTTCCTTGTTCTTGCCAGTCCTGCCCAATTCCAAAATGTCGTCCTTTTGGTGCCTCTTTCCTGTAGAAGGGTTTTATTCCTGGCACTCACCGCAAGTCAATGCAGGTCCCTTACCTGCTCTGTTCTCCGTTAGGCTCACCAACCTCCGACTTAAGTGTGACTGCAGTTCCAGCAAGTCAAAGCAGCAGGAATTCGGGCACATGAGAGCACAGAATCTTAGCTGCCTCAATAGTAGCCCCAGGACTGCATGTTTGACTGGTTCTTTTCGCTTTAGTTCCCTCCTGGGTTGAGAGGATCCTCTCTGCCCAGGACTCCTCACAATGTTTTATTTCGGAATCTGAATTGTCTGTCTCAGGGAGCCTCTTTATTCTGCTCTTATCTATCCACCATCTTTACTGGAAGCCCGACAATGCAATCTTTATGCACATGACTTTGATTTATTTCACTTATGAGTATGGCCTCTAGTTGCAGCCATTTACCTATAAAGGCCTTTTGATTTTCCTTCTTTATAGCAGAGTAGTACTCCATTATATAAAAATACCACATCTTTGTTAATCCATTCCTCAGTCGATGGGAATTTGGGTTGTTCCAAGATTTGGCAATTACAAATTGTGATGCTATAAACACGAGTGCACATATATTTCTTCAGGGAAAATAACCCAAAGGTAAATAGCTAGGTCAAATGGAACCTCTAATCCTAGTTTTTTGAGGAATCTCCACACTACCACCAACAGCAAAGAAGGGTTCCTTTTTCCCTCAGCCCCTCCAGCATTTGTTATTGGTTCATTTCTTGATGAAAGCCATTTTTTCTGGGATGAGATGGAATCTCAGTGTTATTTTAATTTGCATTTCTCAAATGAACAATGAGACTGAACATTTTTTCATATATTTAATTGGAATTTATATTTTTCATCTAAGAAGTGTATATTCATCTCAGATGTCCATTTTTGGATTGGGTCTTTGAATTTAGGGGCCTAATTCTTTTCAATTCTTTATATATTCTAGACAGAAGTCCTTTGTCTGAGGGACAGTTGGCTAAAATTTTTTCCCACTCTGTGGTTTCTTTTGATGTGCAAAAACTTTTCAATAAGATGAGATCCCTATTGTTGATTCTTGAAGTACTTCCCATGCAGGTTGCTTTTTGTTCATAAACTCTCTGCCTTCCCTTATGTCTTTAAGAATTCTTTTCTTTATTAGATTTAGTGTTTCTGTTTTAATATTTCTATCTTTGATCCATTCTGACTTTAATTTAGTGCATGGTGATAGACATGGGTCTAGTTTTAATCCTCAACATGTGGAAAGTCAGTTTTCTCACCACTTATTAAGGAAGCTATTTTACTTTCAGTAAATATGTTCAGCCCCTTTGTCAAAAATAAGGTGGCTAAATGGGTTTGTAGTTGTGTCTGTTCCATTGATTCTCAGGCCTGTTTGTTTGTTTGCCAGTTCCATGCTGATTTTATCACAGTGGGTTTGTAGTATAATTTCAAATCAGGCATTGTGATGCCTCCATCTTTGCCTGTTTCTCAGGGTTGTCTTTGGTATGCTAGGTCTCTTCTGTTTTCAAATGAGTTTTAAGACTGTTTTCTCTAGATCTGTGAGGTATTCTGATGGTATTTTGATTGGGACTGCATTACATCTGTATAACAGTTTTGGGAGTATGACCATTTTCTCAATGTTGGTTCTTCCTATCCATGAACAAGGGATGTCTCTCCATTTTCTGATATCCTCTTCAATGTCTTTTTATAAAGTACTGCAATTTTCAATATATGGATCGTTTATTTCCTTTATTATATTGATTTCTAAGTTTTTCTTTCTTTTTTTTATACTATTGTGAAGGGTATGGTTTCCCCCTAATTTCTCTCTCAGTCAGCTTGTTGTTTGTGTACAGGAAGGCTATTGATTTTTGAATGTTGACTGTGTATCCAGCTACATTACTGAATTTGGTTATTAATTCTAGAAGTCTTTTGGTGGAGTTTTTGTGGTCTTCTATGTAGAGAATCATGTCATCTACAAATAATGATAATTTAACTTCTTCCTTTCCTATCCTTATTCCTTTTATATTTCTCTCTCTAGTCTAGTTGCTCCTGCCATGGAATTTTTAAATGATGGTATCATATAAGATAAAGACATTGGCTGAATAAAATAAAATCTTGTCATATTTCATCTAGAAATATAATCCTTGCAAATAAGGAAGAGAACAAGAAAAAAGAAAAAAGGTAACAAAGGCGAGAGAGAGAAAGAAGAAAAAAGGATGAGAAGAAAAGACTGATTAATATCAGAGAATTGAAGGAAGTCTGACTTGATGATATGAATTGGATTGAATCAAAAGGTCTTTTTTACTATCAAAGGAATAAAACAGCAATAAAATGAATTGAAATAGTGATAAGATAGTAGGAAATCTATAATAGTTACTATATTTCACATTGTTATCCTCTAAATAGTTGCTCAGCTTGTAAAGTCAACCAAACAATACAGTTCCTCCAAATCAGCTGGTTGCTGCAGGAGGGGTTATTCTCTGCCAGGGCTGGCCAGCTCAGAGGTGGGGGCTTAGCTTCCTTCCTTGTTCTCCTGGATCTGAGCTCCAGCTGGCTAACAGGAAGGAGCTTAGCTTCAATTAAAAGGCTTTTAATCTACTAGTTATATTTTGTTAGGAAAATTAATCACAGAAGTGTCTTAGTTTCCTGAAGATGGGTGCAGTGATTATTGTATGGCAATACAATTGCTGTCTGTCTTCCCCCAGAAGACCATGAATGCCGTAAGAACAGAACTTGCATTAACAGAAAACCTTCCCCTCTGACTTGATCAGTACATTTGGCTAGAGAACAAAAGAAATCTAAAAGACAAAGAAGATACAACAGTCATTCCATATCAACCGAACTCATTCATCATCCTTGTTGGTTCTTTCTTTGAGGAGGATATGCTGATGAAAGTGCCATGTCATCTTTCTTGCATAAGCAGCATCTGTATTATCTGATAGATATAATTTCTATCCCTGTTATAGAGAGCACAAGGCAATCTGAGTACAAAATATCTTTAGCTTTTAAAGACTTTCCTAAAACATTTATGTTTCCCACTCAAATTTGATGGTAATTTTGGATACAACTTATCAATTCTTTTGGGTATAACCTATTGATTCTTTTTAAAGCATTCATCTTAGTGCTCATGGAAATAACTTTCATTTCCTAAATTTATACAATCTAAGTATAATTAAAGTTTATAATTATAAACTGGCTATGGTGGCACAATCTTATAATCTCAACTACTTGGAAGGCTGAGTCAGAAAGATTGCAAGTTCAAGGCCAGCCTAGACACAAAATTTATGACAAAATAAAAATAAAAAAGAGCTCATGATATGCTCAGTGGTAAGGCACTTGCTTGGCATGTATGAGACCCTGGGTTCAACCCCCAGTTACCAAATAAGTAAACATATATTTGTAATTATGACAATGAATACATCTGACATTAACAAATTTGAAACAACTTGTTAAGGACACAGCTACACTGTGAGAGCAGAAAGCAGAAGTGTCCTCAAGTAGCCATCTATTCCCCAGCATACCACATGCTGTACACATAAGTAGGCGTGATTTAGAGGAAACAAAGAACAGTAGGTAGCCTATAGCGTCCATGACAAGACCTGCTATATTGTATCCCTGGCATTTCCCTTATTGCCAGACACACAGGAGATAATCAATAAACATTTAATGAGTCAGAAATTAATAAGGCTGCTGTGAGACATAAATGATCAAATAGGTGTATAGTGCTGATGCACATTGGCATTTGGTAAACATGGGTATTCTTCCCTTTCCAACTTTTTAGGACATTTTGTTTATTTGTAATCTATTTTATTCAAAAAGAATTTGAGGAGTTTACTTATCGAGTGCAAATGCTTAGTGTGCATTGGATCCTAGGTTTGATCCTCAGCACCAAAAGACAGACAGAAACCAAGAGACAGAGACAGAGACAGAGACAGAGACACATCACAGACACAGACACAGACACAGACACAGACACAGACACAGGCACAGGCACAGGCACAGGCACAGGCACAGGCACAGGCACAGGCACAGGCACAGACACAGGCACAGACAGGCAGAGATTTACTGAAGTTACTTCTTCTTAACTGATTTATCTATAAGACAAAATGCATTTTGAACCAACCACTTTCCTAGGCACAAAGGACACAAAACGGAAGAAGACAGGATCTGAATTGTAAGAGTGCTCATTGAAGGATTTCTCATCACTGCAAATGTATAGGAGCTAGACTCTGAAACAGGAACGGAATTACTGAAAGAAGAGATCAAGCAGCAGGCACAGCTTTCCACCATTTAAGTTGCATTTTTTAAAAAAGGAGGGTATCTGGACAGGGAAAACATTTCCAGACATTTATATAGGAAACAATTTTTTGGATAGACATCAAAAAACACAGGAAATAAAATGAAAAGTTAATAAAGAATGTTCATCTGTTTTAAAACAATATTCTTCTCTAATCCATGAAATAAGACATATAGCAGACAATATTTGTCATTCCAGAGAATTTTATAACTGCTCTAAAACACTTATAGCCATATCAAATGACAACATTTCATTATTAGCTCAGACTTTTGTAAGAAAGAATGTAATAGACCTTCATTTTTCATGTTAACTCTTGCAGTGTCATGAAGCAGAGTCACTTTGCCTTATTGCCCTGTGCATACTGGAATACAAGGACTATAATATACTATGATGCTAATTGGGATTTCACTTTGACTTCTTAACTTTACCCATTTATAGCAACAGCTATGTGAACCTGAGGGATAAAAATTATAATGTTCTTCCAAAAGTACAGAAAAGTTGCCTAGGGCAAACACATATGAATATCCTGCTCTCTAACTTCTAGTGATGCTTTTAATGATTACCTCTCTCATATGTAATTTGTAGTGTTAATATAGCTGGGATGGGGAGACTCCATTAGGTCCTGCCTCTGTGTGACAACTGTGTAGCTGATATCTGAATAAAATACACTTACTGTCTGTTGAACTTCAGTAAATCTGTATCGACCATATCAGCCAGTGGCAGATTTAATAGACAAGAAGAAGCTTGCACTGTCGCCCTAAAAAAAGAGTTAAAATACTGTAAACAGACAAACAATATTTTGTTTCTTAATAAACATATCAAATCAAAAATGACATTTGGTTTTCAAAAAGGAAAAAGTAAATAATATACCATAAAAGTAAAGATGTATTAGGTACATACTTCTATAGATATATATATAGTCTTTTAAAAACAAAGTGGGCTAGTGGCATGGCTCAGTGATAGTGTACTGGCTTAGGATATTTAAGATCCCAGGTTCAATCTCTGACCACCAAAAGAAAAAGAAAAAGAAAGAAAGAAGGAAGGAAGAAAGGAAGAGTATAGTACCTACTATTGGGGTTTTTTAAATGGTTTTTATTCTGTCTGTCTCTGTCTCTCTCTATCTCTGTCTCTGTCTCTCTGTCTCTGTCTCTCTGTCTCTCTGTCTCTCTCTCTCTCTCTCTCTCTCTCTCTCTCTCTCTCTCTCTCTCTCACTCACTTTTACAGACAGAGTCTCGCTATATAGTTTAAGCTGGGCTTGACCTCACTATCTATCCCAAGCTGGCATTAAACTCATGGTGATTCTTCTGCCTCAGCCTCTGGAGTGCTGGGATTACAGGTGTGAGCCACTATCCCTGACTCTTTTTTTTTCTTATTTCCTGATAACTATCTGTTCATTAAATTTGTGTAAATTATCCATAGAACAGAACTTTCCAGGGGTTGGGGATTTAGCTCAGCGGCATAAGCGCCTACCTTGCAAGCAGGTAGTCGTGAGTTCGATCCCTGGTACCGATAAAAATGAAAAAAGACAAAAAAAAAAAAGAACTTTCCAGGGAAGATCATCAGATATCTTTCTCTGGATATCAACAATAGGATAAGAACTCCAGATGAACATATCATATAACATTTTTTTTCTTTTTTTTTTTTGCCCCAGGTGCATGAATCCAATCATGTAACATTTTAATTATGATATGAGAATAAAACTGGGGGAAAGATGTAAGTATTAAAAAAAGAAAGAAAAGAAACAGGAGCCAGGTACAACGTCATACACCTTTAACCCAATACTTAGGAGACTGAGGTGGGGAATACAAGTTGGAGTCCTGCCTGAGAAACAGCAAAACCCTGTCTCAAAATAAAATATAAAAAGGGAAGGGGATCCAGCTCAGTACTAGAGTGCCCTTGGTTTGATCTCCAGTATCAAAGGGGAAAAAAAAGCAAACAGGAGTTGGCTCATGTGCTTAAGACATATAATGTTCTTTTCCCTAAAAAATAAATAAAAATGTAAAAAGCAAATAAACATTTTTCACTCAAAAAAATCACTATTTCAACATCAGTTTAAATATAATATTTCCAGGCCCTCTCTTACAAATTTATAGCATAGTTGTCCATACGGGGTTCTAATGAAACCTTTGGGTTAATTACTACACTCTCCATTACCAAATTGCTAAAAATGCAAATAAATCTTCATGAGAATTTTCCTAATTGTTCCAGCAGACATATGAGATAGAATTTATTAATTCATTCATTCCAAACACATTTTCTACGGACCAACTCCTTGCCAGAACCGCAGTGGGTTAATGGGCCATGGTGATTAGATACTAGGCCTTATTTATGTAGACTCAGTCCAGCAGAGGCCACTGAAAGGCAGTGCTGAAGGGATAAACACTGCGGCAGAGGCAAGCAAGGTCACTGGGGGGACACCGGATCCAGATGAGGAAATCACAGTAGGCTTCCCAGAGACGGGCACAGCTGAACTGCAGCCTAAGGAAACACCAGGAGAGAGCCGGGAAAGAAAGACGTAAGGGAGAGCTTGACTGGCACAAGTGTCTAAGCAGGAACTACAGAGTATTTCTGTATGGCAGAGAATAGAGTGTAAGTAGAGATAAAAATAAGTGAGGATGAAGAGGCAAAGGGGATCTATTATAGCAAAGGACTTCATAAGTCATCATTCAAACATACTCAAAGAAATGAGAAGCCACTCAGGGTGGGAGGCAAAGGGATGACATGTTACGTGTTTGTGGAAGCAACATTGGAGAAGAGGTTGGACAACCTGGAGATGAGGCAAAGCTCCTGTCTAGAAGGCTGAACAGCACTCCGTAAAGCGATGATGCACAGCTAAACTAAGGAACAGCAGAGACCAGGGAAAGATTGGATTTGGGACAGGTTGCAGTTCACAATAATGGGGAGCATGTTGGGTGTAGATGTCAAGAGAGAAGTTAAAGACAGCTTCTCAGTCCATTACTGGGGCAAGCAGAGAGAGGAGCCAATTTCCATGATAGTGAACAAAAGCAAAAGAGCAGATGGGCAGGGAGTAATGTCTCTGATGGGAGCCCACGGAACTTGAGAAGTGTGTGGTGGGGAAGGAATAGGTGCTTCAGGAAGAGTAGAGATTTCAGAAATAGGAGAAAGAAGTCAGGCATGGTGGCACATGCCTATAATCCCAGCACTTGTGAGGCTGAAGCAAAAGGATCATTGTGAGTTCTAGGCCAGTCTGGACTACCTAGCAAGACCTTTCTGAAAGAAAGAAAGAAAGAAAGAAAGAAAGAAAGAAAGAAAGAAAGAAAGAAAGAAAGAAAGAAAGAAAGAAAGAAAGAGAAAACAAGGAAGAAGAGCCAACCAATTTTTCATAAAGACACCAAAAAAAATACATTGGACAACAGATAGCCTCTTCAGTAAATGGTGCTGGACAAACTGGATAGCCATCTGCAAAAGATTAAAACTTGGCCCCTCTTTCTTATACTATACAAAAATCAACTTGAAATAAATCAAAGAACAAGAAAGAAAGAAAGAAAGAAAGAAAGAAAGAAAGAAAGAAAGAAAGAAAGAAAGAAAGAAAAAAAAAGAAAGAAAGAAAGAAAAATGGACTAAAGAGACAGATGGCTTAAGGGAGAAGATATCTGTTGACTATATACCTGACAAAGGATTAATATCCAGAATATGTAAGGAACTTGACTTTTATTAGTATGTGTTTGCAGAACGTGATGATTATATTCATCGTAGGGAATTGGTACACGTTCACAACACATCTCAATTCTATTTTTCCCTTTTCTTCCACCTCCTTTTATTTTCCCAGCATCATATTCATTTATTTAGAAGACATTATAAAGTTAATTATCATATGTTCAGATTGAAAACTAGACTAATAGGACAAAGAACATGTAAAAGGCAACTGTAACAAGTCAAGGTACACTTTTAAAAACATTGTTCATGCTGGATTTCAGTATCTTTTTTCTCTTTTTTTTCCTCTAATGTTTTATATATGAAATATTTTTATGTTTTACATATATATTTAGGTTTTCATATAAGAGAAACCATATGATATTTAATCTTCTGTGTCTGAGTTACTTTACACAACATATGATCTCAAAGTACATTTATTTTCCTACTAATGTCTCAAGTTTATCCTTCTTTGTGACAGAGCAGTACCGCACTGTGTGTAAATACCACATTTTCTTTATCCATTTACCTATTGTAAACATGAGTATGCATATATGTCATGTGATATCTTTAACTCTTTTGAGAAGCTACTAGAAGGAGAATAGTTGGATCACATGGAATTTCTACTTTTAGTTTTTTGGGGCGTCTCCATACTGATTTCCATAGTGACTGGTCCAATTTACAGTCCCACCAACAATGGAAGATTGATTCCTTTCTCCCCACAGCCTCACCAATGGTATCCATTCTTTCTAGAGTGAAATGGAATCTCAGTGTTGTTTTAACAGTATCTCAAATGGCCAGCAGTGCTGAAAATTTTTTCATGTATTTATTGGTTGTTTATATTTCTTCATCTGCAAAGTATCTATTCATTTCAGATGCCCATTTTTTAAATGGGTCTTTAAATTTGGGGAGCCTATATTTTTTAGTTGTTTTAGATATATGTACTAGATATTAGTCCTTTGTCTGAGGAGTAGTTGGCAAAAATTTTTTCCATTCTGTAGCTTGTGTATTCACTCTGTTGGTAGTTTCCTCTGCTGTGCATGAGCAAATGATCTTAATAAACACTTTCAAAAGAAAAAATACAGCTGGGTTTGGTGATGCATGCTTGTAATCTCAGCACTCAGGAGGCTGAGGCAGGCAGATTTTTGCAAGTTTGAGACCAGTCTAGGGTTACAAAGTGAGCTCAAGGCCAGCCTAAACTGCATAGTAAGACTCTGTCTCAAAAAGACAAAAAAACTACAGATGATGTATGAAAAATTCTCAATATTGTTAGCTCTTAGGGAAATGCAAATTAAAACTACAAGGACATATCTCAACCCAGTTAAAGTGATTATTAAAATTTTTGATAAATAACAGATGTAGTAAAGATGTGGGGAAAAAAGAACTTTCATAGACAGTTAATGGGAATGAAAATTAGAACAAAAGTATGGAGAACAGTATGGAAAATCCTCAAGAAATGAAAAATATGTCTATCACATGATCCAGCTATCCTGCTTCTTGGTATAAACCCAAAGGAATGAAATCACCCTGCTGAAGATAGAACTTCTCAGATTTACCAAAGCACTATTCACCATAGTTAAGACACAGGGCCACCCAGGTGCCCGTTAAAAAATGACCAAAGCACAGTGGTTTAGGAGGCGGAGGCAGAAGAATGACAGTCCAAGACCAGCCTGGGAACCTTAGCAAAATCCTGTCTCAAATGTTTAAAAAAGGAAGCCGGGCATGGTGGCTTACGCCTGTAATCCCAGCACTTGGGAGGCTGAAGCAGGAGGATTGTTGAGAGTTCGAGACCAGCCTGGGCTACAAAATGAGCTCAAGGCCAGCCTGAACTGCATAGAGAGACCTTGTCTCAAAAAGACAAAAAAAAGGGCGGGGGGGGGGGGCCTGGGGATGTAACTTAGTGCAAAGATCTGGGTTCAATCTCGAGTCCCACAAAAAGAAATGAGACAGAGACAGAGACAAAAAAACAAGCAGAGAGACAAAGAGATAGAAAGAAGAGGGAGAAGAAGAAAGCAAAGGAGAAAGAAGGAAGGGAGGAAGGGAGGAAGGAAGGAAGGAAGGAAGGAGTGTGATACTTATACACAACAAAATATTATTGGGCCATAAAGAAGAATGAAATCCTATCCTATGCACCAGAAGGGACAGAACTGGAGGACACCATGTTAAGTGAAATAAATCAGACTCAGAAGAACAAGTATCACATGTTCTCTCACATGTGGGAGTTAATAGAAAAGCCAGGCACAGAAGCACATTTCTGTAATCTCAGCTATTTGGGCAGCTGACGCAGGGGGATTATGAGTTTGATGCCAGCCTGAGAAACATAGTAAAACCTCATCTTAAAGGAAAAAAATGCTCATCTGAATGTAGGATATTAATTGCTAAAAGTTGGCAAGAGGGTGTGAGTAAAATAAGGCTGGATTTGATCTGTGAAGAGTCTAAGCATATATTAAAATATCATACTGAACCCCATTAGTATGTAAATTAATACATGTTAATAAAATATGTAAGCCAGGTATGGTAGCAGAACCTGCAATCCCCACACTCTGGGAGGCTGAGGCAGGAAAATCACAAGTTTGAGGCAAGTAAGTGAGACCTCATCTCAATATAAAAGGGTCAGACATGGTGGCACATGCCTATTGTAATCCCAGCACTCAGGAGGATCACTGTGAATTTGAGGCCAGCCTGAACTACACAGCAAGACCCTGTTGAAAGAACGAAAGAGAAAGATAGAAAGAAAAAGAAAGAAAGAAAGATAAAATGGGCTGCTTCTCAGTGCAAAGGCCCTGGATTCAGTTCTCAATATTAATATATATAGCAGAAGAAACAGGAGGAGTTAGAAGAGGAATAAAAGCCCACAGATTCTTTTTATACCACAACACTTACTGAATGTTGCACTTTAAAAGATTTAAGGGGAAAAAAAGCCCAGACACTGGTCCCAGCCTCAGCTTTGTGCAGAAGAATAATACCGAGGATTCTGCTTGTTCCTCGCCTGACCTCTGTCACAAGCAGAGCTAGTAGGAAAGATTTATTTCCTAAATAAAAGCAGTGTCTTCTAAAAATTTTTTTAAGTTAAAAAAAAGAATGTGACTTTACTACAAAATTAAGTGTATGAAATTCCTTCAAAAAGCAAGTTGTTGACATTTAAACAATTTGGCAGAAAGGTGCAATGACCCTGCCTAGAAATGAATATTAAACTCAGTTCGTATCAAAGATGCTCCGCTACCTGAAAGGGAAAAGGCCAGCCTCAATTTTATCCGGAGATGGGAACTGTGATTACTTACACGATAATAATGAGATAAAGGGCCAAACTGTAATAGTATTCCTGCCCCAGAATTAACATGACAATTGAAGCTGCTCCTTCTAGGTAGAAAGAAATTAGGATAATCTTATAGTAACCATATTTCTTCAGCCAGGGCCAGATGATAAACACAAGGCACTAAAATGAAAACAGATTGACACTCTGTTAAGAAACGATCCCACGGATTATGCTACTTTTTCCTGTGGATGACAAAATAAATGTTTTCATTACAAAATAAAATTGCTCCTGAACTATAGTATCAAGCAAAACACACAACCATCACTATCCTGACTAATGATGCCATTATCAATACATATCCAAAAACTGACTATGAATATTAATATTCTATAAGTAACAAAAAACTGCTATTCTTTCCGATAAAACAAATAAACCAAGAAATGGTTTCCTTATGTTATTTCACACAATACAGCAATTTTACTAAAACTGATCATAAGAAGAAAATCAGTCACTTAGAAGCAAATAACCATTGCTTTATGGTGAAGTGAAAGTTTCAAGTAAAAAAAAAAATTCAAATTTTAAAGTTAAATCCCAGAATTCACCTAGCACACAGTAAGTGAAATAAGTATTTATTGAATGAATAAAAATCTCGGTCTTCTCTCTGTGATATAAATCTGAAATGTACTTTCCCCCAAAACCAGAAGTAAAGAGTTTACTATTTTATCTACGATTCTTCTTTTTGTATATCCTGCCTAACCTTACATATTTTCATAATTCTAATAGAGTTCAGATTTAGGGCTTTTCCTATATTTTTTTGCTACCAGTGAAAAAGTTCATCATTCTAGACTAAAAGGCTTGTGCTAAATATACATATGTACATTAACAAAGGTCAGAAAATACTCCTTGTTATCAATTTTTTGTTTGTTTGTTTTGAGACAAGGTCTCACAATGTAGCCCAGGCTGGCCTCAAACTTGCGGTGATCCTCCTGCCTTAGCCTTCCAAGTGCTGGCAATAGAGGTATACAACACTGCACCCAGATTCTTCTTTTCAGTTTTTAAAAACACATTGTTTAGCCTGAAAAGTCTTCTATAACAAAATGCATGCATATTACAATTATTAATTAGAATTTTAATAATAAAAGTTCAATACAAATGTCCTTTAAGAAGTATAAAGTATTTCTTTACCCTTGACATTTTTTTTACTTACTTTTCTATTTTCAAGGAATGAGAGCTCATTTTCTGGATACCAAAAAAAATGGCCCTGTGATTGATGTAATTCAAGGCATTTCTTAAGAGTTTTGTAATAGAAAGTATGCAAAACACCCCAACAAGTCCAATTATGTTCTTGCTATACTTATAACATTATAAAGTAGCACATTTCCCCATGTTGAAATGAAGCTGCTTCTTTTCAATGTCAAATATGGAAATACACAAAATCCAATAAATAGTGCAAGAAGCATGTGGCAGGGTGGGAAAATACAAGATTTTAAAAATCAGATGCTCTAGGATTGAATTCCAGCTTTGTCACTTTTAACCAGCTACGGTACAGGCAAGTTACTTCACTCAAGAGGCATTTCCTCTACCAGCGCCTCCCCTCTTATATTTTATTTTATTGTATTCTCTCCCACTGAGTTACCCCTAGCTCTTCTTCTTCATGTAGTTCCATATCAACATATGGGGCACTCAACCGTTGTTAAATATTTTTCTTGTATCCAGTATACAAGAAGACATGAGCCAGAATGAGTATTGTTACAAAAATCGTGAAAGAAAATTAAAAGACTGCCTCTATTTTTACTAAAACAAAATCCTCTACAAACTGAGGATTTTGGCTCCTTGCTCATATGTGATTGAGGAGAAATCTGTGAACAGAATGTACCAACATAAGTGTCAGCAAACTCACACCAGAGAAGCTCCAATCAAAGCAAAGAGAAAAGGCAATACTCTGCTTGGAGCAAAAGCCTGATAAATATCTGCAGCTTTGAATTTGTTGTATATAATTAGAGCTAATGTTTCTAGAGTGTTTATTTTGTGCCGCTTTAAGAATTCTGTGAGTTTTAACTCATTTAATTCTCATAGTAATTCCATTAGGCAGACCACGTTTATTCTCATTGTATAGATAAGGAAACTGAGATGCAAAGAGATTGATTATCTGAAATAGGGTTGCACAGCTAAGATGCTGGGGCCGGATTCCCTCTGGGGAGATGCTACAGCCATATTCTTTTTTTCTTTTTCTTTTTGGTACCAGGAATCAGTTGCCAGGCAGGCACTGTGCCGCTCAGCTGTATCCCCAACCCCATCTACAGCCATATTCTTAACTCAGTTATTATTCTGCGTTTCTGAGGACAGTGAGATGCAGAAGAGTGACAGACATAATGCAACAGTCATTAGAGAAAAAATTCATTTTTTTCTCCTTCCATTTAGCTAGCCCTTCAAAACGAAGGCCACTAAGAAGTCAGACTCAGAAAATGAGAATACATTGCTTATCCCATATCACTACACTCAATAGTTAAAGTGTTAAAGCGAGTTTGCCAAATAACTAGTATTAACAGGTTCTAACAGATTAACCGCTTTTTGCTACAAAAGTTCATGCAAGTGTTACTTTTCTAGAAATTAAGGATAAAGTGAAGCCCAGACAATTTGGTGACAAGACCATCTCCCAAAATTAAAAAAGACTGCAGAGATGTAGCTCAGCATGAATAACCTGGGTATTATGTGTATCCCTAGTACCAGAGAGAGACAGAGACAGAGACAGCAGCAGAGGCAGAGGCAGAGGCAGACACAAAGGCAGAGGCAGAGATATAGATGCAGAGAGAGAATAAGAAACAGAGGGAGAGAGAAAGGCAGAGACAGAGATATAGATACAGAGAGAGAGACAGAGAGTAAACCAGTAATGGTTCATACATTGTATCAACTTGAGAAGTTTAGAAGTTTAAGGAACTCAGCAGAGGGTCAGGGTCCTCACTTTGTAAACATCCTCATCCTGTGCCAGATGACAGGGTTCCTAGATGTGTGAATGCTACACTCCCCTGATGGGTGGTAACCTGCATATAATATAAGGGAGGAAGAGAAACTTGTTACCTACTTATTGCTCTTGTTGCTTTGCTATCTTCTGCCACCTTGAAGTGTTGTCTTGCGCCATACCACCCTGCTTTGGAGCCAACTGATAATGGTCTGAAACCTGTACAAACTGTGAGCTAAATAAACCTTTCTTCTTTAATTTTGGGTGTCTGGTATATTGTCCAGGCAACAAGGAAAAAAGTAACCAAGCCAGAACCACACCCAGGCTTTCTTTCTCCTGCCATGTGAGGACGCCCTGCAACCCCTCAACCTTGGACCTCCATAGCCAAGGGCCAAAATGAACCTCTTTTCTTGAAAGCTTAAAGGGTCTCTGGTGTTGTGTGATTAGAAATTCAAAACAGGGGGCTGGAGGTTTAGCTCAGTGGCATAAGCGCCTGCCTTGCAAGCAGGCTATCGTGAGTTCAATCCCCGGTACTGATAAAAAGGAAAAAGACTAAATAAATAAATAAATAAATAAAAATTCAAAACAGACTTTACTGTACAGAATAAAGTGTTTACTCGTGCTTTAACATGGATGGCATGACAAACAGGCATGAAAAAGGAGAAACTTTTTGTGGCAGGCAGAAGGTAGCAAAGCAACCAGGGGTGACCACAGCCATTTCTATCCCTTATATTTTACCCAGACTATTTAGGACAGGTGGCACTCACACCCTTAATCCTAATGCCCTTGATCCTAGCATTACACCATGAGTCATTCCAGAATCACACACTCTATATCCAGCCATCTCTGAAAAAGTCCCACCTAAGATTTGCAAGAGGCTAGGGGGGAACATCTGGACCCAAGCATAACACTCTGCTTTTGGATACCCAAAGACTCATGTGTATACCTTTATGAAAAGAGACATTTAGTTCATTTCCAAAAGTTGCCCAAGTCCTAACAGTTTTAGCATTGCCGAAAAGTCCAAATCCAAAGTCTCCTCTGAGATTTAAGGCAAACTCAGTTTCGAGCCCCTGTACAAATGAAAACAAAATTTGGGGTGGGATATGGCTCAGTGGTTTGCCTTGTATGCTTAAAGCTCTGGATTTGATCCTCAGTACCAAAAAAAGAAAAGAAGTCTTTTGTTTTGTTTGGTTTGGTTTGGTCTTTTTTTTTTTTTTTCTAAAGCAAAACAGGAAAAAAAAAAAAGGAAAGAACTGATACAGAATTTTTTTTAAAAGTAGGGAATTAACACTAGTTAATATTTTGCATATTGCCTTAGAAGTTGTTCAGGTTACAAAATCTAGACCCAAAAGTGATCAGTCAAACAGTGACAGCACTAACTTTTTTTGATGAACTAACAGATTAGTAATATAGCTATCTATTAAGCATACATATTCATACATACATTTATGTATGTTTACCAACATACATATCTTTTCCTTTCCCCTGTATTAGTTGTTTTGTCCTTCTAAGCACTTTCTTTCCCTTTCATTATTACACCATCTGCTATATATTTAGAATCTTATTACTCTTTTGGATTTTTATTTTTATTATTTTTTATACTGAGACAACATGATATTTATAAATGTGAGTTTGATTTCACTTATGAGTATGGTCTTGAATTGCTTCCATTTACCTATAAAAATCTCAAGATTATCCTTTTTTATAACTGAGTAATATTATGGTTTGGTCTTTTTTGAAAAAGGGTCTTCTCTATGCAGTTCAAGCTGGCCTTGAGCTCATTTTGTAGTCCAGGCAGATTTTAAACTCACAACAATCCTCCTGCCTCAGCCTCCCAAATGCTGGGATTATAGGTGTGCACCACCACACCCACTTTAAAAAAGAAAGTTAAACAATTCTCACATTCAATAGCACAAGATAGATATTTCCAAAGGTTACAAACAAGAGGATAGTAAGGAATGGGAACAAAGCAAGACCAAAATCCAGCAGGGCAAACATTAAGTCCTACAGCACAACTTCCAGAACCCCAGAAATTGGCAAGTTGTGAACTCCAAAGGGCTTGGGTGATTCCACCCCTATGGCACTTCTGCTGGTTGTAGCTCCCATGGCTTCTCTCTGGGGCTGGCTGTGCTTCCTCTCTGCAGTTTTCTTTAGACAATCCCATTCCTGACTTCTCCAGACTTCTAGGGTTTCTACTGCACCCTCACATTCACATTAAGTTTCACACACTACCCTCTTGGGGACACACTGCCTGATCTCTCAGACCTTCTTCTGAAAACTGGGTGGAAGCCTTCTTGACCCTACAACTCTCTCATTCTGCATGTACCTAAAACCAGCGCCATGTAATGATGCCAAAATCTGCCTTCAACTGAAGCAGTAGCCAGGCTTCCCTGTCTCTTGGCTGTAAGGTCAAGTGCCTATGAACCAAATCCTGAGGAATAACTTCCCTAGGCTGCCATCATTTACTAGGCATGCTGCTCTGGGGCTCTCTTTTTCAAGCAAAGTCTTTCACTTTTGCAACAATGAGGCTGCAGAGGTTGGAATCCTGTTGGTTCTTGTGATGTCTTCAGGACATTTTTTCTGTTGTCTTCTTCTGAAATAATTGACTTTTTCTTTCTAGTCTTTTCGGAGATGAATTTCTCTTGTGTTCCATCTTTGCAGGTTGCAGCTTTACTGAAGCATCCTTTCTGGCCAATCTAAATATTTCAAATCATTCTTCTTGGCTCTTTGCTCTTGATTCTCAACATAAATCTGGCTAAAAGCCCCCAGTAGTAGCATACCACTGCCTCAATATTAGACTGCCTTGAAATTTCTTCTACCAGATGAATTAGTCCACCTAGTCCGCTTAATCTCAGACAAAGTCTCTGGACACTAGCAAGCAGCAGACAAACTTTCTACCAAGTGCTAATACACATTGTCTGAAATTAAATAGCCAATGTAGTCTTTTTTTCCAGCAGAAACCTCCTAAGCCTGGTCTTTACAAGCAGAATATCTAGCAGCATTCTGTCTTCTGAGCTCTGACAAGAATTTCCCATCAAGAATAGCCTCAGGTATTCCAGCTCTACTTTTTCAGCCAGCATCTTCAAATCTTTCCAAACTTTCCCTTACCACAAGCCAGCTCCAAAGGCTTGTAAACCACATGGTCAAGTATAGCCACACAAATGACCCCACTTCTCTGGTACCAAATTCTGTGTTAGTTACTTTACTCATTGCAGAGACAAAATACCCAATGCCTAAAGTTAAAGGAGAAAAGGTTTATTTACACAGTTTATAGAGGTTTCATTCCATAATCAGTTGGATCCAAGGCAGGATGGCATGGAAGATAGGCATCACAAAGAAGAAATAGTTCATGGCAGGTAAAAGGTAGCAAAGCAACCAGAGGATGACCACAGCTCTTTCTATCCCTTATATCTTACCCAGGCTACTTAGGGTGAGTAGCACTCACACCTTAATCCTAGTGTCCTTGATCCTAGCATGGCAATTCCAGTGTCACACACTCTATAACCAGCCACCTGTGAAAAAGCATCATCTGGGGCTGGGGATTTAGCTCAGCGGCATAGGCACCTGCCTTGCAAGCAGGCAGTCGTGAGTTCAATCCCCGGTACTGATAAAAAGGAAAAAGGCAAAAAAAAAAAGCATCATCTATGAGTACATGGGGCTGGGGCGGGTGAGGACATCTAGACACAAAGCATAGCATTATCTTTCTGATACATTTTACTAAGGAAGTTATGTTCACACATAAAACATCTTAGAACAACTTCTACCTCAAATGGCTTTAATATTTTGGCAAACAGTAAGAACTTCCTATCTGGAATAACTTATTACTTTTTCCCTGAAGAGTATAAGTAATTTTACTTATTATATAATTGTAAAACTAGGAGAAACTATATTATAAGCTAGGTTGAGTCATATCATTAGTGGGTATACTTAGGTTAAAGTGTAGAATGGTAGAGTAAACAGCATGGCAGTATGTTTTTCAAGGAGGACTTGCCCTCTACAATAACACCAGTCTGTAGTCATGACCATGGAATTTTAATAACAGCCTGGAATTCTGAAACTTAAGCTTTCAGCCAAGTGTTTTGAAATGTTACTCTATGAATTCTTGATTAAGTGACTCTTCTTCCATCGCAGAATCTTAAATACCTGAATAAAACAAACTACCTGCTGATAGAAGTCATTTATTTTCCTTCATAATTCTGCTGAAGTTTAAATGAGAAAATTTGGAGTATTAAATTAACACGCTAAAATGTTTTAAATATTGCATTGCTTGGCTTTCATTGGGCTCTCTTTTCTTTCCTTTCTTTCTGCTTATTTTTTTCTTTTCTTTTTGTACCAGGCATCGAATTCAAGACCTTATCCTTACCAGGCAGGCACTGTGCCACTGAGCTATAGCTGGCCCCTTTCTTCCTTTCATCTTATTTTCCTATTATGTTTCTAGTAAATCATATTAATATCTGGGGCTGTGAATCTTTGAGTCTCTTAATAAGTATATGTTATTTATTCAAACTACTGAGATAATCAGGTTTCTGATCTTGTTATCTGAGAGTTAAATCTTTAATCTGTATTATATAATACATGAAGAATTATCACCTACCTGTGAGCAAATAAAGCCTGCCCCATACATGATGCTTCTCATGGAAGAAGAAAAAACATCCCCTGGAATGAGAGTATCTGCAAAGATCATCATGAAGTTGTTGAAGACGGTTAAATGGAAAACTTGGAAGAAATTCACTATTAAAAAAAGGTGAAACTTTTTCTGGGATAACATTCGTCTCATTAGTAAGATGACAGAGGTCCAGACAGCATCCTGTTCACTTTCCAAGCAAAGGTTTTCCTCGGGGCTTATTTTGGGTTCCAAATGTCTCATGTGGTACACGCCTATGCAAAGGTTGGCAGCTGCAAGAAAGGCAACAAAGACAGCAGCAACCTGAAAATTGGGCAGGTTTTCCATATTATTCGAGATGAGGCCACAGAAAAGGATACTGGTAGATCCTACTAGTAATGGCACTTGGTTAATTTTAACCATTTGAAGCCTACTCTCACGTCTAGTGGAAATCTCTACCAATAGACTACGGAGGGCTTGCTGCACATAAATGAGCGTGCTCTCAAAAGTGCATAATGATGCCACCAGGTGAAGTTCACTAAGCCAGTCATCTTCTCGATACTGTCTCCAAGGGAACCAAGGGAGCAGGAAGGCTACCACATATAGAAAGGCTCCAAGTAAGATGAAAAGAGGATCACTTAAACTGCAGTCAGCCTTGAAGTTGAAGTAAAAATTCCCAACCAGGTTATTAAGGACATTCCAAACCATTAAAATTATCTAGGGAAAAGAAACACAGAATTTCAATTAATAGTTGTCATGAAAACCACTACATTCATAAAATGAAGTTGACCTCTGTATTGTTTTTACTTATACGCAATATCTAAAGCTCAGTAAAAAACTCATTGTTTTCAGAATCAGCTGAATATTAATAAGAATTATAACTATAGCTAAAGCTAATGTGCAATCATTTTGGTCTAGTTACTGTATGTGTATTATTTAATCAAACCCTTAAAAAAAACTTATGCAACAGTTACTGTTATTTCTATCAAATTACAAATGAGGAAGCTGAGGGCCAAAGAAGTTATGCAACTTGCCTCATCAGTAACAGCTAGAGTCTTAGCCGAGTCAGTAAACCCCAGAGTTTGTGCTCTCCCCGCAAGATGGCACACAGGGCCAAGCTTCTGTGGAGTGATGGCTTGTTTACATCAAGCACAGTTTTAAATAATTTCATTAAGAAATGTTAAAATAACAATATTTGCCAAATTCAAAATGTATGCTGTATGTTGTTGTCAGTAATAAAGATGTAACATTACAAAATACAGGGTTTTTCAGGGTGTTAAACCCATGATCTTTATTCATCCTGACCATCTACTTAGCAATGAGTTACAGTACAATTTGTCAACGCCATGGGTCTTTTTAAGACAAATATCTTAATAGTAATAATGATGACTATTCTACATATATTAATTTTCCAAATGATCAAGGCTTATCCTTTAAAGTGTAACACTCATACTTAAGTGGCTAATCCTTAAGACATCTTTACCTTCAGAGACCCTTGGACATGGGTTTATGAATTGTTTTGTTTGTTTCTGAGGGTCAAACCCAGGGCCACTGCATGCTAAGTAAGTATTCTACCACTAATTTACATTCCCAGTTATCAAGAATTTTTCTTGATAACTCAGGTATGTGAAGAATCAGCTATTTAGTAAGAGGCAATAATACACAACTATGAGGAAGAGGAAGTTATACTATGTGAAAGATTCGGTCTCACCTGGGCTTGACAGAAGGCCGCTTCTGGAATCTTGTATACTTGTAAAAACAGTTTCACATAGTAGAAGCTGAACACAGAATTTAGCATTCCAGTCCCTAATGATATTGTAGAGTATGCCCAAGCAATGGGCTTGATATGAAGAAATGTCATTTCCATGCAGAGGAACTTTTCTACCCTATGTTTAAAAAAAAAGTTAAAATCCACTGGAAATAAGAATACAAAACCAATACCTGTGAATATGTCACCAGATTTAATACTTGTCTATACTCACTTTTTGAGATGTTGTCAGGAATTCTAATTTGCATAGGCAGTGATTCTTTTAATATTTTAATGTTTTTTAAATTATAAAGTAGAATTTATCGAGAGTTTGGATACGCTTAGCTAGTGGTGGTGAAGATATGTTTATGTTTTATTATCCTCCCTACTTGGGAAGGTACAACAGAGAAAGAACAATTCAGTGGCAGCATTTTGCTAGTCACAGAGAAAAATAGATGCGAGCCCCTTAAGAGAAAGTTGTCCATTTGGAAGCACAGACTTGCATTTGAAGATTTATTCTTACTCTTTGCATAAACTCTGTAACTTTGACCCATAGGACACATCTAAGAGCAATCTAGAGATTGCTCTGATGTACATGTCCCTCTCAAATCCAGCCTATCATCTTAGCCTTTGATCTGTTCAACTAGGAAATAGAAAAGGTTAACCAACAGGATGTAGGCCTGAATTTATCTTTCTTTTGATTATAGCTTTGAGAGAACACTTTGATCATTCCAGTTTATCCCTGACTAGAATGTTTCAGCACATCTCCACAACTAAATAAAAAAACAAACAAAATATTCACATAACTTGGGGGATGTTACTCTGAGTAAGCGTTGGGTCTCCACTTTGACTTTGGGGATTCAAGAGAAGAATTAAGCAGGCAGTTCAGTCTATACTGTCTACTTCTTCAGAAAATGAAGGAAAATTAGAATTGTGCATGTTGTTCAAATAATCAAATTATTAGTCCCAAAAGCTTTCTTCTATCCTGACTCAAAAATTATTCTATGAGGGGGTTGGGGATTTAGCTCAGTGGCATGAGCGCCTGCCTTGCAAGCGCACGGTCATGAGTTCGATCCCTGGTACCAATAAAAAATATAAATAAAAATAATTTAAAAATTATTCTATGAATAGCAGGTCTGTAGAACTTCTTTAATAAAGGGTTGTTAACCCCATATCCATAGAAAGCATTGGATGTAGACTAAATGAAGACTATTTTTCACAGGCTGGGAATGTAGCTCAGTTATACAGCACCTGCCTCCTAACAGTGGTATAACAGGGGAGAGGGACTTGATGCTTCCAAAAAGATGCTTTTATCTTGTGGCTGCCCCAAAAGACTTGTGGCCAGGAGACTGCTGTATCGGGCCCCTCATAACCTCTCCAGGAGAAATTTATTTCTGCTGAAGCAGGCTTTAGTCACACTCTACCACAAATGACTCCAGCCCAGCAGATCGGAGGAGTCCCTTTCCCATCTGTGATCACAGAGTATATATGCAAACTGGAACAGGTGAGCTTGGGTCAGCCCCTGCACAGTTCCCCCTTATGCTGTATTATTACACAGTTCTGATAAAGCCTTTTCTAGATCACATCTTTTTTTTTTTTTTTTTGACAGTGAGCGTACATTTAATGCCACTAGATCACATATTCTTGCCTATTTGCAATTTTTGCCTGGGGTGACATGTGTTGGGCTGGTAACACCAACGGCTGCTGGTGCCTACAGTGGCTGCAGCTGGAGCTGGTAACATTGAGGATGGCTGGCAATCACAGCAAGGACAGCAGTCACAATGCAACAGAATAGCTGGGATCCAACATCTCCAGTGAATTAAAGGTCTGTTAATAACTGTTTGCTCCAAACAGCAAAAAGGCTTTTAAAAGAGTTAATATCTGTTGGTATTCAAAGCCCATGGCTGTTAACACTAAAACAGCTACACTTTGTCAATTTGTGATTTCTGGATGAATTGAACAAGAACTTTCAGCCAATGGATAGCATCTTGGAAGCACCTATGAGCTTCCCTGCCAAGGTCCCTAAAAAAGAGGGCAAACAAGGGGCTGGGGGTTTAGCTCAGCGGCATAAGCACCTGCCTTGCAAGCAGGGGGTCGTGAGGTCAATCCCCGGTACCGATAAAAATGAAAAAGACAACAACAAAAAAAAGAGGGCAAACAATAGTGATGGTTGCTAGTAGGATCAAAAATAAGCCTATGTCTGATTTCACCTTACATGCAGCTAAGAATCTCTGCTAGCTGGTGGTAGTAGAAGGCTATGGATTTATTTCCCAGCACTACAAAGGGAAAAGGAAACAGCATTCTGTCCAGATGTGTACTTGTATTTAAAAATGTTTATAGATTCTGATGTAATGATAAAATACAAATCTCATGTTTTATTATGCAGTTCACAAACACTTGAAAAGTACAAGAACTACAGTATCATGTGGCCTTGTCAATACTTTTAGCTGTGAAAGATAATTTTCCGATTTGAAAAAGATGGGAACCACTGGTGAAGATGTCACTCTAGGGAGCATAAGTGAGAATGAAAAAAAAATTGAGAATGAAGACAGACGTTAGAGGTTGTTTTATTACACAGAAAGCCAAAAACAAAGAAGCCACTAGAAGCAAAAGTCAAGATAAATTTAGCCCACCAACATGTAGGCCTTCTTTTTCTTAATTTTATTTGAGGCATGCCTAAAAAAAAGCACACCACACTTTTCTGATCTATCATTGTCAGAAAGCAGATATTTATAAATTCAAAACTGTACAGAATGTCATAAACTCAAATTGACTTCAAGGTTTTTTCCCAAATAATTTAAGTATGCATCTTGTCTGAAATTAAGAATATAAAGTTTTTAAGTGTTTATTTTTCAGACTGAGTATCAAATCCAGGGTGCTTTACACTGAGCTACATCTTCGGTCCTTTAAAATTTTTTAATTTTGAGACAAGCTCTCACTGAATTGCCCAGGCTAGCCTTGAATTATCATCCTCTTATCTCAGCCTTCCAAGCAGCTAGGGTTATAGGCATGTACCACTTCATCTGTCAATATAAGGTTTTGATAACATAATGGAAAAAAAAACCCTACAGTGAAAAAACCCTCTTTGTACATATTGAGAAGTTAGCAACATTTTCCTTTCATCTTAATATTTTTCTAAGATTACTTTCATCATAGTAAATATTTACTTCAGTCAGTATAAAGTGGAAATCATTTCTTTCTTTCTTTTTGTTCTGTATTTCAGGCTGGTCTTAAACTCACTATGTAGGGGCTGGAGGTTTAGCTCAGTGGCATAAGTGCCTGCCTTGCAAGCAGGCAGTCTGAGTTCAATCCTGGGTACCGAAAAAGACGAAAAAAAAAAAAAAAACAAACTCATTACCTAGCCAAGGCTAGCCTTGAACTCATGGCAATTCTCCTGTCTCAGCCTCCTGAGTTCCAGGGTTACAGGTGAGTGCTACCATGCCTGGCATTAACAATCTTTTGTTTTTTGTCTTTTTGAGATAGGTTCTCTATGCAGTTCAGGCAGGCCTTGAGCTCACTTTGTAGCCCAGGCTGGTCTGGAATTTGCAAATGATCCTCCTGCCTCAGCCTCCCAAGTGCTGGGATTATAGGCATGAGTCACCACGCCCGGCCACTTAACAATCTTTTAAAAGCCACTACTATCTAAAAACTCTCCTCACATGGTTTTACTTTAATAACAAAATGTTAAAAAAAAAAAACCCACACATTTGTCTTTACAACCAAGGACAAAGGATCTTTGAAGCTAGACCTTTATCACAAAATTTTTCTGCAGAAATGGTTTAAAAGCAGTAGAGCAACATAATGATTAGGCTGCACAAACAAGCTAAATACTGTTAAATTATTATATGAACACCCAGATCTCTTTCAGAATCAACTTGGGGAATTATTCATTAAGCTACCATTAAAGCAAATGATATTAACATCTCTGAAGAGGCTCCTTACAACTGCTTCTATGCTTTGACTAAGTAGACTCAAAGAAATCTCTCTAAATAAAGCAGGACTTTTAGCCCTCAAAGCTAAAAATCACTTTTTCAGTGCAACTTTTTTTGTTCAAATTTTTCCAAGGGGAAACATTTCCGAAAATAGCATCCTTAAAAAGAAACCATTAACATAGTCCTACAGGCATAAAAGCCTGTGGGGTTTTGTTTCTTGTTTTTGCTGTTTTAGACTTTGAATACCTTTACATCTTCCAGATTTTTCTTTTGGTTTTTTTGTATCATTTTGAGCCAAGGTCTCACCATAGTTGAGGCTGTCCTTAAAGTCAGAGATTTTCCTACCATAGCTTCCCAAGTTCTAGGATCATAGACCTGTACCACTACACCTTGGGTCTTTCCTCTCTCTTTTTAAAAGTGAATTTTAAAGAATATTCCAATATATTTTTCCCTTCATTTGGAATCAAAATGAGCCTTTGTTTGTCACAGAGAAAAGCCTAAGCTCAGATGCATGACTCTAGAAACCTACGACATCCACCACTAGCAAATGCTAAAAACAATTTTCTCTTTCCAAAGGGGTTTTGGTTTCATTTGTAGTTATAGAGACAATTTTAAATTATCTTATTGTTGTTACCTCTGGACTAACACTTTTACCTAAATATTGACAATGTGGCAATAAAGGCTTTACAGGGTGCCTAGCTTTTTCCTTTTTTTTTTTTCTTGTCCTTTACAAGATTTCTCCAAAGGGCAAGAGCCTGCATTCTATAATGCACGGGTGACCCTGGATTCAAGCATCAGTGTGGGGTTACAAGGACTGGAGCAATGATAGAGAGGACTCTAATATTTAGGACACATTGCCCCCTTCCTCAAATTACATATTTTATTCATTTATATTCAAAGTTCAAAGTCAGTCTGAGAATCTCCTTATAAATTCTTATTTTTAAATCAGAGTATGTTTGCACATGGCTATAAAAAATAAGCTCATAGAAGCATATATAATGAAACTCAAACTCTCACTCTTCTCTTCAGGCAGACTTTTGCTTCCCATTTTAGTTCTCATAGCTCTTCTTATCCGTGGGAAGGGGTTACTAAATTATAATTTGAGGTACTATCTATGGATACACTGCAGCCATAAATGATGATTTAACTAACTACAACTCTTCCTTTTCTCCAAATTTGACA